AAGAATTCAGCAAGTACATATATGCAATTTGCTATGCTCACATTCTCAGGAGTAAACAATAACAAATAATTTTAAAAGCCTATCCAAAGTTGTTTGGATAAAGTGTTATAAAATAAAAATAAGTTTTCTGTGTGAACCTAAAAAGAATGGTATTTATTTCTAGCAAAGAGTTGAAACCCCCCCCCCCCCCCGGTGGTTGTACAAAAAGGGAAGAAAACTATGCAACAAGAGGGATGAAATGGAAAGTAACATGGATCCACATGCCAGCACTGTAGAAGCAAGCTTTAGGTTCCCAACTGAGGATCAGGTTGTTGTCGACCTAAATGCTTTCACGGTCTCTTTAAGATCTTCTATAAAAGAATCTGGTCATCTGGGGAAGTTGAGGAAATAATTTACCTGTATCTCCATACTTTTATTTGATTTTAGCTCTAAATTTATTACAAGTCAGGGTCTATATAAACCTACTGGAAGCTGTTCACTGAAAAATAGATAAACAAGAATAGAAAAGAATATGAAACATATAAGCAGCACAATAACCATCATTTGTTATCTAACAGGAACTAACAAACCTGGAACTGTGGTTTATTCAGAACCGATAGTTCTCTCACTAAAACTTCCTCCAAAGTCATGAGTACTGCACAAAGGTGGCTATTAAAATCATAGAATTGTAGAATGTGAAGGCTGTTGAGTCCAAGGCCCTGCTCAGTGCAAGGATCCAGATTAAATTATTCCTGATAGATAAATGTCTAACCTCCTCTTGAGTATATCCAGCAAAGGTAAATTTATTACTACTTTCTTTGGAGATGGGAAGAGAGGGAGGAACTAGCATTTCCTGTTATGTTGTTTGTGAGTAGGGGTGCACACTGTTGATGTAAGCCAAATTCTATGGGGAAAAGAGTACGAAAGGCAAATGTGCCTATGTGTCAGGTTCAGCCCAAAGAACTCCACAGACAATGCAAATACAGTTCTGTTGCGTTTATTAGCTTCCCCCTCAAGACTGAACCAAAGTTCCAAAGCCAGCCAGCCACAACACCGTGAATTCCTTAGGGAGGTGCCAGCCTCATCTTCTT